GCCCCTCCCCCCCCCCGCCTACACACACACACCCGCCCCCCACCTCAGCTCCTTCCTCTTGGTCGCAGCACACCGCGCTTTGGCCCGCGCAGGGTTCGAGTACGCCGTCGGAGGCAAGGCGTCCCGCTGCAAGCTCTAGGGCTCGGCGCCATGAGCAGACATATTTTGTCATATCTGCGTACGAGGGTTAAGACTCACCATCTGGTCTGAATAGAGGAGAGCGATGTCAGTGTTGGTTACAGCAGAAGGATTCCTTAATTCGCTCCACTACAAAAAAAGTCCGGTGGGGAACCGACATCATGGCCCCGAATGCCGTGCTCTCTAGGTAATCTGCGGGAGCTCCACAAACCAGGTAACCTGGTTTGTGGACCTCCCGCACCTTACCCTTACAGGCCACCATAAGGGACCCGGCTGGGCGTCTATCATTCACTGCTGGGGGGGAGGGGAGGGTTGCAGTGAAGGAAGCTGGAAGGTGGAAGTCTCGTCAAAGGCACTTGTGAGTACTGTGAAGACTGTGCGTCGTCAGGACTCCGCCAGGACTCTGTCAGGACTCTGTCAGGACTCTGTCAGGACTCTGTCAGGACTCTGTCAGGACTGTCAGGACAGGTGCGGGAGGTCCACAAACCATCGATGTATCCCCTCACGCACATCTTTCGCTCCATCATGCACTCTTCTGCGTGCAGGCGCGCGGTGAGTGTCTGTGCCCGGGGGGGCACTGTGCTGGCGCGTTCTTTCCGGCTGTGAATCCGCATTGCGAGCCGAGGACCACTCTCGCGCACGCTCTATCGTATTCGGGTAGGAGCCTTCGCATGAGGCCTTTTAACGACCAGCCGTCCGTCGGCCTATGGGTGGGTTTTTCTTTCTCGTTTTTCACTCGGTGTTCATACACGCAATCACACGATAGGACGCTCGGGCTCCGTGTTACAGGCGGACTGGACACCAACGCGGTATGGGTGGACGCTGTGAACGGTGACTCGAGGATCTTCGCTTCTGCCCGCTCTTCTACGCGGAGAGCGAGTCGTAAGGCAAGCCGGGAATCCTGCAAAAGGTGCCTCCGCCGCTGCCTCCCGTGCTGCTCAGCGGGGCATCTGACGCGCAAAAGCTCTCCCCCACCTTTCCCCTTCCGCAGACAATGAAGCTCATCCTCGTAGTCTTTGGCGCGTTACTCCCTCCCACGAGCGCGTCGGCGCAAACTACCTTTGCCGACAAGCCCGCCCTGCAGGACGCGGCCGACCTGTGGTGCAGCAACGAGACGGCCGCCCTGGCTGAGCACGGCAACATCGCGGACTGGGACGTGAGCCGCATCACCGACCTGAGTTGTCTGTTCAGCGCTTGGTGCGGCGGCTCCACGACCGGCAAGAGCACGTGCAACCCCGACATCAGCTCGTGGGACACGTCTGCGGTCCTCGACATGAGCAGCATGTTCTGGGGCGCCTCCTCCTTCGACAAGGACCTCAGCTCGTGGGACGTGTCGGCGGCCATCGACATGATCGGCATGTTCTCCGGCGCCACCTCCTTCGACAAGGACATCTCCTCGTGGAACACGTCTGCTGTCCTCTACATGACCGCCATGTTCTCCGGCGCCACCTCCTTCGACAAGGACATCTCCTCGTGGGACACGTCTGCGGTTCGCTTCATGGGCGTTATGTTCTACGAAGCCACCGCCTTCAACAAGGACATCTCCTCGTGGGACACGTCTGCTGTCCTCTACATGGGCGGCATGTTCGACGGCGCCTCCTCCCTCAGCGACTGCAACAAGGCGCTCATCCACGCCAGCTTCGACGCACAGACGAGCGCGTGGCCCTACAACTCGTGGGGCTCGCTTGCGTGCCCTCCCTCGCCGCCGGCCTCGCCGCCCTCGCCGCCTCCATCGGCCTCGCCCTTTCCGCCGCCGCCGTCCGCCTCGCCCTCTCCGCCGCCGCCGTCCGCCTCGCCGTCTGGGTCGCCGCGGCCGACTCTGCCGCCGCCTCCCTCCGCCTTGCCTGCGCCGCTGCCGCCCTCCGCCTCGCCCTCGCCGCCGCCGCTGTCCGCGTCGCCCTCGCCGGCTGCCGCCGCGGCGGCGGCACATGGCCCGTCCTTTCAACTTCTGAGCACTGCGGGTGCCCTCCCCCCCCCCCCCTATCGCTTTCCTGGGATTGGGACGACCTGCGGAGAAATGCCGCCTCCCCCCTCCCGCATTGCGCGGGGAGGGCCCCCGCGCCCTATGCCTCCCCCCGCGGTCCTCCCGGAGTGTTGTCC